TTTAAATAACAGTGGATAAACTGTAATAGAACCATTGTAAAGAAAGATTATAAGTTCTCCTAACAAACTTAGATGTACCGAAAACCAAGTAAATACGTAATCCTGATATAGGTGCTATAGAACACGATTTTTTAATACTATCAGTTATTTTTTATGACAAAAACATTAAAATTTTGAAATACTTGAATTCTTTGTGATAACAAATGATCGGAACTTAAAATTATTCTTGTAATTATTTGCCAATTAAACTCGATTGTTGATTTCAGTAAATAATTGTTTTTATTTCATAAATTTGTAAATATTCGATAAGAATTTTTTGATTGTAATTGCAACAACCTAATTATTAATTTAACTATTTTTAATTACAGCTCATAATCTGAAAGTATTGCATTTCGAATGAAAAACTATTAAAGAAACAGACTCTGTTTTTTGATTCAAATAATTTGAAAGATCTGAAAATATATTATATTATTAATATAATATTAATAATATTATACAATTACGTATAAGGAGTTAAAATATTCGATTTTAAAAATTTGTTTCAGCATAACTGTCCATGCTCCTGGTAGTTTTATGTTTTCTTTTCGAATTATTAATATTTAGGTCCACACAATTAATTAATCTAATTAAAAACAACTTGATGGGTCATTGGAATTCCTTATTCCTAAAGTTTACTATATTATTCTGACTACTTATTATTAGATGTTCTTGGTCTTACTTTTCGAATCAGTAATATTTAGGTCCAAGTAAAACCCATAATTGTTTGTCCATTAATCAATTCTTAACTAATCCCCGAAAAGTGTCACTTCTCCTTCTACGGATTTTATTTTTCATTCGTGAATTTATCAAATTACTAAGAATAACTTGAAATATGATGTCAATTCTTTATTGCAAAAGTTTACTATCTTATTCTGATTACTTTAAAGAACTAGTACTTTTTATTGGTATTATTTTTAATACACGTATAAAAATAATTTTTCGTTACACATTAATAAATCAACATTTTTTGTTATTCTCTACTGTATCTTACACAGTATCTATTTCTCATCTCATCTTTGAAGGGAATCCATACAAATGTTTTTAGTGTAAAAATATTAACTGATTTATTTATAAATAAAAATAAACTAATTTTAAAAATTCATAAAAAATTTCTATATTTGCGTTAGCAAAACTGTTATACATATATATATATATTTATTAAATGGAAGTATGTTTACTATATGGTTTTTTAATATTTATATAAATACGTTAAATATATTGCCAGAACATATAAAAAAATTATTCAAACTATGCATTTAAATACTGTTTTCCCTTACATTATTTTGAAATATCTTAAGGCGGAATTTTATATTGTCAATTTCTTGGCTGAAGCCGAAAACCACTTAAATGACAAAATATTTCCAAACAATAATCAAAAAAAAGCAATAATTAAATTTTAAAATAAATTTTATTTGTATTTTTTGTTAGTCAATTACTAAGAAAAAGAATCTGTATAAATGCTTTATAATTATTTGCTGTGAAAATTGCATAAATACTATATCGCGCTAAACAGATTATCTGCTCAAAGTGGAGGATCTTGAGTAGAAATCCGCAACAGTGCGCTAGCTCTGCAAATCCTTACAAAAATAGTTACTGCTTTATTTGTAAGGATTTGCAGGATTTAATTACTAAAATTTTCTAGTACTCTAATTAATTGTACGTAGCTTAAATGTTCTTAACTAATTCTTATTGTTTTCTGTTTTCTGTTTTCTTATACTGTATTTTTCTATATATATATATATTTATGTATTTGCATATATATATATATATATATTATTTTTTTTTTTCAATATTAAAGTCGAAGTAATAAACTTTATTCATTGTTTCTAATTTATCAATTTAAACTTATTTTATTTTGTATAAAAATATAAATTGATTATATATAATTTACTTTATTTACTTTTATGTATGTATGTCTTTTAAATGGTTCTTGACATTAACCATTTGCTAAAAATTTTACTATATAACGATATATACTATATATAATAATTATTTTAATTTTCTAACGTTAAATAAAGTGTCGCTTTATGCAATAACTCTAGGAGGAAATTAAAGTAAATAAATTTCAAAAATTCGTTATTATTTACTTTGTTTATTATTTTCATATAAAATTGCGTTGCATTAGTTAAAATATTTAAAAAAGAAAGGCCTTTATTTTGAAAATCGCATAAGTGCGCTTTTATATATTCTTATATATTTTATTGTGTCTTAGACTAAATATCTAATAGATTTATTATTTTTCCATTACTATTTTTGTTTCTGTTTCGGTTTTTAAGAATTTCTCATGTAAAACTAAGTTTAAAAAAGCCTTTAGGGAGCTACTACAGTTCAATAATTTCCTCGTATATATATACTTTACACATACATAGATTTGATATACATATAAATATATACGCAGTTGCATAGAATTTTATTTTATTTTATTATAAATTTTTATATCTATAATAAATTTTTTTTATTTTTAATATTTTTGAATTTCTACAGTTGAAAGCGAACATCGCTCATTTATAATAGACTTAAAATATTAGACTTAAAACTTCAAGATTTTTAGTACTTCATTTCAATATTGTTCTAATTTTTTTGTCAAGCCTAATTTTTCTTATATATGTAGATAGATATATCTATATATATATAGATATATATATATTATATATATAATAATTTCCTTATATATTAATGTCAGTGTTGCTTAAAATAGAAATCATACATAAATTACATAGATACTAATAATATTGATATGCATTATATATATTTTTTATAATTTAATACTTATTTATTTACTTGTAAATATTAATACATTTTAATTATTTGATTACATACTTAAAACTAACATTTTAGTTGTTTTATACTCACAAGTATATATTATTAAAATTGGTTTAAATTGCCAATACTCTAGTATTGTATAGAATTATATATCAATGAGTCGTATGCGCTAGCCAGTTTAAAAATATAGTCCTAGTTAAAAGTACAAATACAAATTTACTTTGATATGTTGTCGATTTTAATGCATCCTCAATTGTTATAAAATTAAACAAACTATGGATTAATCGCTCTTTCGACACTACTAAAAATGTAAATCAGTAAAAAAAAGATAAAGATCCTCATCGAAGAGTACCAGAATATGGTCAGAAGCTTGTGTTCTCGAGGCAAAAATTGTGTTTGGTTTGATGTGGATGAAATTTTATTTGATAGTCTTATGTATGTTTAGCTATAAACTTTTATAATTTTTTGTAGGAACTAAAATAATATAAGTAAATTTTAATCAAAATGATAAAAACTTTCTAAGTGAACCAATGACGACATACGAAATTTAAGCGTTTTAGTTAAGGATAAGACGGGCTTTCGAAAGAATTATTTTAAGTTATTAAAAAAAATTTTCCATTTTTAATTAAATTCTAGCTGATGTATAATTAAAATTTTAATTAAAATTTATTTTAAATACTTGGCAAAAATTAAATATAAAAATACGGGTAATAAAACGTTTCAGTTAAGGATAAAAGAAACTTTCGAGAGAATTATTTTGTTCTTTCAAAAAAATGTTCATTTTTATTTCTTATAATATAAATTTTAATTAAAATTAATTTTAAATATTTGGAAAAAATAAATATAAGAATACGTTTGAAAAATGTTTTAGTTAAGGATAAGACACGCTTTAAAAAGAATTATTTTAAGTTGTTAAAAAAATTGTTCATTTTGTAATTAAATTTTTGCAGACCAATAATTAAAATTTTAATTGAATTTTTTTTTAAATATTTGGCAAAAATTAAATGAAAGAATACAGATAATAAAGACATTCACTTAAGGATTAGACAGGAAATTATAATTATTGATAAAAATTATTCACTTTTTAGTGAAGGTTTAGCAGACTATATGTGTATATATTGATTTAATTAAATTGAAATTTTAATTAAAAGTGACAACAAAAATTATTAATTAGTTATATGAATAATAAAGCTTTTCAGTTAAGGATTAGACAGGCAATTATAATTATTGTTAAAACTTATACACACTTTGTAGTGGAAGTTTAGCAGACTATATGTCTATATATTAATTTCATTAATTAAAATTTTAATTAAAAATGATTTTAAATGTTTAACAAAAATTAATTATTTGTAGTGTGATTAGTAATATGATGAAAACTAATTAAAATTTTATTTATAACTTATTTTTAATGTCTAACAAAATTCGCCAAATATTTTAGGTTTATAACTTCTTATGAAGAATATACTATCATCTAAAGACTAATTAGTATATGGTTACATCAAACTAGGAAAACAAATAAATCATTGGTTCGGAAAGCTCTAGTTCACAGAGTACTAAAAAACAGATTAAAGAAGCAGTCCAATATATTTATTTTTTTTTTTGTCACGAAATTTCAGCTTAAGTTAAATTACTTTCAATAAAAGTTTTTTAAAAAAAATTAATGCTAATAAAAATTGTAACTGACTATCTGAGGACTTGATATACCACAAATAAATGAAAATTAATTTCCAAATATTTTTTATTTTTTTTGTTTGTGTTTACCGTTTGAGAAATGAGCATTTCATTATTTTTCTCCTGATACTATAATACATTACCATTCTCATAACAGTCCTGCATTTTCAGTAATATTCCTCAACTGCTCAAAACCAAACTCCAGCAGAGGTGCTATCACAAATCATATATTGAACAATGTGAATGTGAAACCTATTTCTGTTAAGAAAAAAGACGAACTATCAGAAATTTGAAACCAGACAAAAAAATTTCATTAAGTATTCAAAAAGTGAGTAGTAACAACTGTTTTATATAATTTAACTAAAATATTTTCCGTTTTTCTTTTTTAGAAATTAATTAAATATTTAATTGTATTCTTTATCAATATTTTGTTTATATAAAATGTAAATTCTCATATAAAAATCGAATTTCATAGGAAATATTTTATGAAAAATTTATGTTACTTTTTTATTTTTTTATATATAAAAATTTAGATTTTTGACGCCTATAAAAAATTGTTTTGCTTAAAATTTTTAGTACCAATCTTATCAGTATTTTAGTACAGCCTTCCGCTGCACTATTTTATGAAATAGTTTTCTTGTTTTTCCAATTTATTTATCAATTTTTCAATTTTTCAATTTTTTTAATTAATAAATTTGTGATGAGATAATTGAAGGGTTTCCTTGCCAAAAATTCACAAAAAAATTATTGAATCAAATATATTATAAATATTTTTCTCACATTTGTGTTAAAAATTTTTTGTGCTTTTATTGAATTCGATAATGCAAAGGTTTTTGGTTCAGTTTCAAAATCAATCAATCAATTTTGTCGCCAGGCGACGGTTCTGCAGTCAGTAGTGCTTATATACACCGATATCTGCATGTGAATGGATTACCGATTTTCATGGTGTGCATTTTAAATTTTTGGATAATTTGTTGGGTTTTTTATACTCTCAATTTGTTTCTCTTTTTTCACATTAAATAAAAAGACTATATCCTTTCTCTTTTGCAACATTTCGCAGCTTTGTTCATTGTTTTACTATTTCATTGAATTATTATTTTGTATTATATATTATTATGTCTTTTATTAAATTTACCTATTTTATTTCATTTTCTTTTCTTTCATTTTATTATTTTTCAAGTATTTATTTTTTAGTACAGATTTTGTATGGGGAAAATACTAAAACCTAGCACTGCGAGTATTACTAGTCTTCTCGACTGTAGCAATGTAGAAGCGCCTGCTGCTTTCGTGCTGTCATTGTCATCACAACCCGAACCTGAAATTATATTCACTATTAGTAAATTATTTGCAAACTATTTTAATAATAGAATAATACTTTATTACAAATGTTTTTCATGATTAAAATGAGCTTATGGAAATGACATCAAATTAAGTTTTAAATTAACAAAAATATTAAAGGTAATTTAAAATTATTTAGCACTACTTAATACCAATTTAAAAAAAATTATAATTTTTATTTATAAAAGTATTATGTATCTTAAATACTTCACGTCTCATATACTCTATTCACAAAAATATTATTTACTCTTTCACCATAACAATCGGACAAAAACTTTTCTTTAAAAAAGATTATTATTACTGCGATTATGAGAAATAGTTTCACCAAAATAGCAAAAATCATAGGTACAATATTTTATTTATTTAAAATATATTTGATAAGATTAGCATGCATAAATCACTGGGATCTTAATAACACCACTTCTCTAGACAATTACGCTTAATGAAAATGTATTTTGACTGCAAGCTTTAGTGGATTATACACTATAATAGCCTATTCTAAAGAAAATATAACTTAAATTTTAATTTTAATTAAGTTAATATGCCTAACGTATCTAGTGTTCTTGGTTTCAGATATCTCCAGATATCTCAAAAATCAATCTATATTGACTTCTCCGTCGTAAAAAAAGTTTTTCAAAATAAAAGATTTTACAAATATCCAAGAAACTGTAATCATGCAAAAAAAACTTCGATAATAATGCGCATAACCCTTAAAAATACTAAAACTACTTTTAATTTAATTTTAATAAATGTTTAATTATAGAACAAAACTTTCTATAAATTAAAATTGAATAAATTAATGAATTGTTATTATTTATTTGTAATTTACTACTGGTTAGGTTGGAGTGGTGATCTTGTATCTAAGAAAGCCTATTTGAACTCAAATAATGACATTTTTCGGTACTACGGGAATACCGGTAGTTCGTACATAGATTAGGTCAGTATACGACTAACACCGAAAAAGGCAACGACTCATCCATTAGGTGAAGGTAAGCCAACCTGATAATTCTATGAATTTTGCTAAGTACCTAATATTGCAAGATGACAGTTAAGCCAGGTCGGTAAGAAAACGGTCTCCAAGATACTACAAATATTGCATAAATAATTAAGTTTTCCTAAAGACAAATTCTGTAGAGAAAGTAGAAAGTTATATAACTGAGAACAACTATTTATTCAATTATTTTTAAGCTTATTACACAATTGTTACGTATTCTGCCAAATATCCATCGTCAGCGTTATCAAAAAAGCTTAACCTTTTTAATAGTCTAGTGTAGAGATTTTAAAACTTTCTGAGCATCATCAAAAATGGAAATTTGACACAAAACTCTGAATTTTATATCGCAACACTATAATAATACCTTTTCTTAGTATACTATTAATTATAAGGTGTAGAGCACAGCATGAGACACGCTAATTCAGTTAAATAATTTTTCTAAATTGAAAACGATTGAAGTGTATATGTGATTAATTTTTCTAAATTGAAAACGATTGAAGAGTACATGTGATTAAACTTTCATTAATTATAATTTTTATCTTATAAACATAATCTGTTTATTACACTATAGAGAGATATTTAACGATTCTTAACTTTTCCCACTACTCTATATACTGCTATAACTTAGACCTCCAGATATCGGGTTTAAATGTTGTAAATTGTAACATTGATGACACAAAAGACAATTAGGCATGACTATTCTTGATTTGAAACCTTATATCTGGAAAACCATATTTAACATCTGTGTAGTTGAAGAACTTATTGAGAATGGACGACCTCTATATATATATCACAGTTTGGGTGGTTTGTAATATTTCAATATACTAATATAATATATTTCATATACTAATATTTTTGGGGAAACATTACTTTTATGCATATTTTAATAAGTAATGAAAATCCGTTAACATTTGTTGACAACTGAATGTTTGAGGAGTACCTACAAAAGTTTGGCCCCACAAATGTAAAAAGAGCCGCCATTGAACGTTATAATTAGAGACACATGCGGAAATTGTTGAGAGACACATCGAATTATTCTTAAAAATAATATTTTATATAAAAGATTTTTTTTTTATAAAAAACATATAAAAGAATAGTTTAGCAATAATTGCAATAATTTTTGAATTTAAGACTGTTTCCAATTCACAATTTTCTTTTCATGTTATTATACATGAAGCGGTAAAAAACATGTACAAGCCAAATGCTAGCTTTAAATAGAGGGCTAGAAGATATTGCGCAAAACCTGTAATACATAAATGTCGAATAAGTTACACAGGATATTCTATAATGACGATAGATAAATTAAAATGAATTCAGAAATGTCAAGTACGTTTTGTGGTTGAAGTATGTCTTCAAAATATCCAGTAGATAAACAGATACCATGGGAATACTTTGCAGAAGAGGACGAAAACTGCAAAAAAGTAAAAATGATATTGAAGAAGATTTCATAAAAATAAATGTACGTTGAGAGATATATTACTGAGATGAAATAAGGCTTTAAGAAGTGTAAGCCAAGAAAGAAGAAAGTTATTCAGGACTTGATAAATTGAACCACAGTTTTCAAAATCTTTGACTTTTTTGGAGACACATTACTGCAGAAGAAATAGGTCATTAAGAAGTGTAAGCCAAGAAAGAAAAACAAGTTATTAAAGACTTGATAGATTTACTCACAGCTTTTAAAGTCTTTGACCAATAACTTAAAAACAAATTATAAGGAAAACATTTTTAAAACGTTATGAAGAAATATTTTTGTTTATTTACATTAATCTAAGCGATCTTATAGTACATTATTTATTTGCATTAATATTATGAGATCAAATCGATTTCTAATGCCTGACTGTATGAATATTGACTTGTAAGAAAGAATACTAATTATAATAATCTTTCTAAGATCTTATAGTACATTATTTATTTGCATTAATATTATGAGATCAAATCGATTTCTAATGCCTGACTGTATGAATAATGACTTGTAAGAAAAAATACTAATTATAATAATCTTTCTAAGATCGTTTTTTAAGTGTACTTTCAAATAGGTATTCCATCAACACTTACTTTATTTTTCTCCATATTAATAAACTAAAGAGCAGGTTCAAGAGGAAAGTATTTCTTAAATTGTGTCATTCCTTAACAATAGAAATTATAAATATATATCACTATATCTTGTTGTTTCATAGGTTAGCTTAGATTATACCGGTGATCTAAAGAGGATCCACTTAGGCCTAGTGGCCCATTGTGTTACTGTTTAATAGAAAAACTCAGGGTTTAAAACCACCCTGAAATAAATAAAACGCTATTTACTTATAAATAATTTAATTAATTATTTTTCTTATTAGCGTTCCAGATTAGATTAGTCTTATTTTTGTAAGTCTCAAGCTTTATTATAAAAAACCTCCAATAATTTTTTTAAAATGTTTAATTTTTGTATCCGGATAGTTATAAATTAATATTTTCTTTTATTTTGAAAGTAACGATAAATAGTAGTGTAATATTTTTATGAACTATTCCGTATTCTATTCAAGCTCCTCTCTGTTCATATTTTGCGCATAAACTCTGATTACTTCTGCTAAGAATATTAAGTCTACGGACATCTCCTATTAGTCATTAATTAGTAGAATATGATTTTGGCTTATGCATTCTTTAAGAACTTCTAGGTGATATATTATATGTGGACTCCTGTCATTATGGACTCCTAGTTTTAATCTTTTCACAATTAATTCCTAAGAGAGAGCTTTGAGGGAGGTTTCCTATTAAATTTGTTTGGCAAGTAACTAATAAATAAAGTATTTGCATTACTAGCAAAAAGTAAAAGCTATAAAAAGTCTGATCAGGCATTAAAATAATATTAAATAAAAATGTTTTCATACAAAATTAAAATAAATACAAGCCTTGCATTTACATTGCATATCAAAAACAATACTTAAATGAATAATCGAATAATAAACTAAAAAAACTTTTCGCAAAAACAGCAAAATGCAAAAAAATCTACAAGTTAAAGATATTAACGAAATTAGAAGAATCTTCATACACTATATTATGCAATAAGGCAACAACACAAAGGTGAGTTCGGGAGAGGTGTGCGATTTGTGCAGTTTGTTAAAGGCTTCAACTTTCTCATACTTACCTTCAGCAAAAGTATCTATCTTGCTTCAACGTCGCTCTTTTGTGAACTCTTTGACTCGTTTAAGCAATTTTTATATTATTTTATTTATGTTTTTTTGTTTGATAAATACAAAAAACTGAACTGAACTGAACTGAACATTCTCTGGCACCGAAATACAATACAGAAATTTATTAATTTGTTTATATGTAAAGTAAATCTAGCTCACGTGCCGATTGAAAAATATTCATCATGAATTCATATCAATTTTTGCACAAACTCGTTTCGTCTTTTGATATGCAAAGCATGACTTTGTGAATTCATCAAATTCGGACGTACATTGTGACCGAAAAGTTTTCGGAAATTCTCATTTAAAATTCGCGCGCTGTATATTTTTCGATATTTTAAGTTTATGTAGTTTGGCAGCACTGTCCTTAATTACTATGCCAAAAATGAGCGCGATCTGTCAGACAGTTCGTTTACGGCAGCTGTTGAAACCAGTTCACCTCAGTAGTGCGTTGCGAAAAAAACAATGGAAAAAAATATTGAACAAAGAGTTTGCATCAAAGAGTTTGGTCTCGTTAGACATGCTTGATCGTGCCAATTCCGATCCAACTTTCATGGAACGCATCATAACGGGTGACGAGACATGGGTCTACGAGTACGACATGCAAACAAGCCAACAATCATCGGAATGGAGAGGAAAAGACGAGCCGAAACCGAAAAAACCACGCCAAAGTCGCTCGAAAATCAAGGCAATGCTGATTGTTTTCTTCGATATTCGTGGTGTGGTGCATCATGAATTCGTCCCTGAAGGACAAACAGTCAATAAAGCCTATTATTTGACTGTTTTAAGACGTTTGCGTGAAAATATCCGCCGTAA